TTACTAAAACTGTATTACAAAAGACAAAAAAAAGTTCATTCTGTTTTCTGTAATACAGTTTATTCGGTAGAAAAAAGGAGACAAACGATGTACCTCTGATCACATTGTAAAAATGTCGAAGGTTCTTCGCTGTTCTCTTGCAGGCATGTTGCCGGAGCTGAACAGGAATCTGCTTCACGGGCATCCAGTTGTGCTAAAACTAACATCTGTAACAAATCATCAGTCACATTAAACTCAATGTCCCTAATCAAATTTCTTGAAGTTTTTGCTATCAAAAACCAAACCGAATAGCAACAACAGCAATAACATTCAAAAAAAAAAAAAAAAAAAAATTGAGTCAGGTAAAACAGTTTCAAAAAAAAAGTGGTCAGAGACCATAAAGAATAACTATGACGACAAAAAAAGCGGAAAATTTTGAGATGGACGACGAAGAATAATGCTAAAGATACAAAAGAAGAAGACTAAGAGAAGGAAGAAGCAGTATTATATCAAACTAAAAACAGCTTTCTTCTCTATTCTTTTCATCTTTTTTTTTTTTCAGTTCTCTTACCAAAGATATATGGTTTCGTTGAGAATCTACTAAGAACAACGTTTCAACAACTGCCGTAGTTTTCCAATCCCAAATTTTTTTATTCATTTAGTTTTGTTCAATTTACAATGCAAATAATATCTTCCAAAACATTTCCACTATTCTACTCGTTCTTTTTTCCTCTCTTTTCATATTCTATATGTTTATTTGTTTATTTTTTCATATGTTTGTTTGTTTGTTTATTTGTTTATTTGTTTGTTTATTTGTTCGAAAGGACTCAAAAGTCACAGAAGAATAAAGGAAACCAAAAAACAACTTATGCTAAAGACACGAATTGGAAGAAAAAAAGATTAAAAAAAAATCAAAAAGATTTTTTTCTAATATTTTGATTAACAAAACTCAACTAAATTTAAAGCAACAGAAATAATTACGATAAGAATAAAAACAATAAAGAAACAGTACTGAAACTAACAACAATGACAACAGAAGTTAAAAGACAGACGGTATTATAATTTCAACAAATAATAATCAAAATTTAGAAGACGGCGTCGAGGAAGACATTGATGAAGAGGAGAACGTAACTGACGATGACGAGAAAGAAACGGCATCAATTTTGTGATTTTATTATAGGAAACGGCGACAAATTGAACAGATAAAAAATAAGATTATTGATGATAAAGAATATAATTTAAAAGCGGTCTACCAAAAAATTACCTATACTTTTACAACTGTTACAATTAAATTTGTCATTAAAAAAGAAATATTTGCTTCTTCTTGCCTATCTTTGAAATTTCGAGAGTTCATTCAAGTGTATTCTTGTTTTTTTTAGCGTACAGTTTAAAAAATCAAGCGTTTTCTTTTTGATTAGAAGTTTTCCCTGTTGAAATATTCAAATCTGCTTACTGTATCAAACCGATGAGCAGGAAGACCAGGAAAGACAACGATATATAGAAACATGTAAAAAGAGAAGACAAAAGAGATAATAATCAAAAATTTTTTTTTCTTTAGAAAACTGTTCTGACAGCTACAGTAGACAACTATTTTTGATGCAGGAAAAAGATTAAACTTCTTTTTTGTAATTTTTTATTGCTTTGAAAGCGAAATTTTATCAAAAACGCTCAATTTTTTTTCTATAAGTCTTTTTTTTCGCTGTTTTCAATAACCACTTTTTGAAAAGTTGATTGTTGATATCGGTTTGGGTATGCAAATTTTAAAAGCTTTGTTAGCGCTCCTTTCTTTTTTTTTTTAATTTTTTTTCGTTTTGGTGACTAGAAAACAACTAAGATGAAGTCGGACAGCAAATGATGCTTGGTTGCTTTCGGAGTTGCTTCGGATGCTGTTGTGGTTCGGTATTTGCCGGCGGAAGCGTTGTGGATGGCTGCGGAATTGCCGTTGGCGATGCAGCATTTCGGCTTTTCACCACCCATACGCCTTTACCTTCCTGAGACCTAAAGTTTACAGAGGTGTTCATAATATTTTGTCTGCTCAATTTTTTCCCCAAATAAATTAGTTTGTTTCTGTGTGGACTGCCGACACAGCAAAAATAAAAAGCAGAAGAAAGAAACATGAAGTAGGAACTAAGAAGTTTCGTTGCTATCTGCCGAAGAATATGAGAATTATTGATAATCATTGAAGAATGTGCCTATTAATAGTTTTATTTGATTCAATTACCAAAAAAATTTTTTCTTTTACCATATAACTGTTGACAGACATACCACTAAGACGGTTTTAGTTATTCTCATTAACACTTCTGAACCTGCCAACTGTAATTAATACAACCAAAAATCACAAAAAAAAAAAAAAAAGCTAAAAAGTAACTGTAAAAAACAAAAAAGAAAATAAAAAAGAAGCGAAAAAAATTTATGATAAAACAAGTGTATATAAATAAATGACAAGTTAATGAATAAACGTTTTAAAACTCGAGAAAAAATAACTAATTTTTTTTTTTTTGTCAAATTTAATAGAAAAAGATGAGACAAAGACTCTCCATAATTCTGAATACAATTTTTCAGTAACTTTCTAGTTGTTTTTTAACTACATCCAAGGTGGTATGCGAACTATTTTGAAAATTTCAAAGAAATAAAAAATAAGTAAATAAAACAGAAGAAATAAAGACAATTAACATCAAAAAAAAGTTACACTAAATAGTTCGAGAAGATAACAGCTATTAAACAAATCGCAGACTTTCTCGCTACCAAAAAAAAAAATATTTAGCGTAGCGGAACTACTGTACAAAAAAAAGAAAAAAAAAAGGAAATCAGAAGAAACGATTCGGACAATTATAAAAACTTCAAAAAAGTCATAATTATAGTAATGATAAGAAAAACAGCGAAAAAGTGAGAAAAGAAAATGACATAAAAAAGAGGCATTAAATAAGTTATAATTGGTTCAAATAACATACTCTTGATTAGGTTCACATTTTAGAAAAAATTGCGTTTGTTTTCCACCAATCTGAACTTCGGCAGATCCCAAATCACATGAACCACCAATTACGGGAGTTGACTGGGCATCTGTTAG